TCTTGAAATATACAGTTTTTCCCTAAGATAGACAATTTCCGTTGCACCAATTGAATTCCGTTGTATCTTACTGTTAAAAAAGAAAAACATTAAAATGTAATAGGAATAGTAAGCAGATTTTTTATTAGTATTAGCAATATTGCTGAAAATCTTGACGTAATCCACCCGCCCCAACTAAATACATTAGTATGTATTAATGGAATTAATATATAATTAGAATTTATATACCATAAAAAAAAAACACATTTCTTTCTGAATCAACAGGCAATGACATAACTTCCATCTGGTGAAATTGACTTGACAAGCATAACCACAACTATATGACCTATAAATCTTTCTACATTATCTTTATTTGCGGGCGGCAGGATATGGTTTTCTTAATTAAAACATTCAAGAGTGGAGGTATCATCGTTATTAATAATAATCAAAACCAGAGAATACTTAATACAGATGTCGAAAGTACAAAGTCAAAACAATGAAATTAAGTCAGACAGTGCTTAAATGGAAAAAGACGAGTTTTCAAATAGACCAGGCAAATTAATAATTTTGGTTCACCTAACATAAAATTTGAAAATGACCCGACAAGCCCAGCCTCTTTTTCATCAACTATATAGTTTTCCGAGTTTTAGTTTTTGGCTAATGCCTAAAACTCCATCTTTAATTTATACAAATCTATATATGATGAGCTCAGCTATTATATAAAGAAATTTTTTGCTTGTAGATTGATTATCACAATCAGGTGTATGTATTAGTAAAGAGTAACATTCTGAAAAAAATTTTTATTTATTAAAAGAATATTATATCAATTTTATAAACGAAAAAACTAAACAATATAAATATAAATTCAAGTGGAATCATTTTTTTAAAAATCTGGGATCACCATATCAATCTGTCCAGAATCTAGGTAATGGATGAAATATAAATTTTAATTAATTGCAGTTTGATATCAAATGTGTTAGTATCAAAATTTAGATTAGATGGAAATACCTGAAGTTTTAAGTTCTTGAGATTTCTCATGTTGACTTTGTTTTGTATTACCTAAAGCTTTAGAAATTTGTTCTTTATAGTTCATTAATCTGCTAAAATAAAATGCATCTTTATTCTTTTCTTTTTCAACATACGGTTCAACTTTTGCATTAATTTTGTCAGATTCTTTAAACTTTGAACGAAGTTTTTTATTTTCTTCATATTCTTCATCAGTAAAATACAAATATGTATTATTAACAGGTGAATAGTATCCATCTTGTTTTAGCATCATCATCATCCAATGTAGGAATTGATCGTGAACCTCTCTGGAGGTTGGTCTTTTTAGCGGATCCTTGTCAAGACATTTCATGGCCAAATCGACATAGGGTTTTGGAGTTCCTTTAGCAAATTCTGGTCGTAAATTTTCGCAACAAATCGGAATTACCAAATCATTGTTATGTTGTACATTGTAAAATGGCGGCCTGCCACTTGAAAATTCACTCATAAGAATGCCAAAGCTGTATATTTCTGACTTGTCCGTATATGGCTTTCCGAGCAACACTTCTGGTGCTATATATGGTAATACACCCACCACATCTCCATCTTCTTTTTTCACTGTTTCATTAATGGCTCTCGACAATCCAAAATCTGTGATTAATGATTTTACCGATGAATATTCATGATAAGTGAATGTCTTTTGAAGGATATTTCCGCTGTGAAGGTCACAATGGATTAATCCAAATTCATGCATTTGTAACAATGTTTCACTTATGCATGCAAGACTTGTGATCTTTTCATTCCATTTATAATCTTTATTAAAGCTGGAGTAGAGATGTTCTCTTAAGCTTCCTTTATCAGCATATTGCATTATCAAGATGTATTCTTTAGAATCAGGATCTTGTGATATTGCATAAAGTTTTATAATATTATCAGCGTTTGCTTGACATCTATAATGAACTTTTAACTATTATGATTTTAAGGGAAAAATTCAATAATATTTATCAAGGCCAAAAGAAAAAAAAAATATGATTTCTTACTTCTTCAAAAAATTGTTTAAGTGTATCCATGGCAACCAGTAAAGTCTTCAAAATAACGTGAATCTGGCCACTGCGTGACTTAATCCATCGATCTTCAATTTTGTTCAAGGCCCTAAAACCGTCAAGCCAAATCGCGGAAAAAATTTCTCCAAAGCCACCTTGTCCAATTTTTTTAATATTTATTAATCTTTCAAAAGGAACCCATTCGAGAAAATTGTTTTTATACGCGTATCCCTTTGCTTCAAGTTGAGTCTGCCTTATAAAATTGTCAATCTCTTCGTTATTGCTCGTCCATCCCTTAGACAATTCATCTGGATCACATGTTTGACACCATGCATAATTTGTATTGTATTCATTACAAATTTTGCATATCCCATATTCTTCTTCTCTTGTAAAATTTTGTCTTGTTATGGGTATGCTTATTGCGGTGTCTGAATTATCCAGTTCCACCATTTGACTATACACGTCCATTAAAGCATCGTTCAAGTTCATCTTATTCACGGTGTAAATAGGTAAACCAATTTCTTTTGTTACACTTCCAAATGTAATTGTATTGATATTAAATGCTAAAGAGTTAGTTATTTATTATTATCCTCCACTTCATGGGGGATAACCATTATTTAAGAAACAATATAAGGTTTAACATTACATTACGCCATAATAATTTCCAGGAATTTAAATTCCGGAAACTACTGTCGTGTACTGCATTACTATTTATATTAGAGGGATAAAAAGTGTTACATCTTGAATTTCACAACATATCGGCGGATATGAGTATTTGCCAAGGGTATGTAATATATGTATATACACCAAATGCAAGTCAGATGTTCGAATCACATAAAATGCAATGCCAGGTGATACATTATATCGTAAAGGTTAGAAATGAAAAAATAAAATCCACGAAGCCTTTATTGACGAAATAAAAAATAAAATACAACTAATACTAACACCCCAAATATTATAATGTGGATACAATCGTTCTTGTTTTACCAGAATCACTGTATATTTATTTACTTTAGCCAATAAAATTTCAGTCTTAAATGTTAATAATTAATGATGCCTGACGAAATGTAATTTATTGCAAAGAGCATATTGACGAAAAGAAAAATTTGACAAAAAAAAAGGAGAAAAATGTACAAAGAAAATTTTTGCAATAATCTACAATAATAATATTAAACTTTTTACATTTTTGTCCGAGTCAAATTTGGATAAGCAATTTTTTACAAGTTTTTTTTGCTCTTATAATCAATTAATAATCTAAAGTTCTAACTTTTACGCCAAAAAAATTTAAACATAGTTTCATGTGGATATGACTTATAAAAAAATTTCTTATACCCAAAATAATAATTAATTGCTATGAAGCAACCAAGTAAACCAACTCTTTCTAAATTAAATAAATGATAGTAGATGATGTTACATTTAGGTTTATTAGAAAAATTTAAATTAACTGATTTGTAAAAAACTACCTCTTGGTGAAGAGAGCTTTGGCCAATTTATCTCAGCTGCAGCAGACACAATCATCCACAACATCCTCGATCAGAACCAAAGCGAAGATTTCCACTTCAATCGCTATACACATCAATATGGTCTTGGTGAGCACGAATATTACAACCATCCTTAAAGTAATTCAGGGATAGCCAATTTCAAAAAAGGTCGAGTTAATAATGTTTTTCAAAATTCACACAAAGGTGACTGTGTAAAAAGAAATTTCCTCCGTAGAATGCTTTCGCACAAAATCCAAGGATTGACATTACCTCATGGAATTGTCAAGATTGATGAAAATATGTTCGTGTTTCCTTCTTGGGATTCCGCTTGAGACCTTAGATTTCGACTTTTTTTTTGTATAAAAATTGATCAATCCGTGATCCAAGAATGAAAAGTACGGACCAGAGAGGTCTTGACCAAATTAAAAAGTAGCAAAAGCAATTAATTAATATTAATATTTAATTAACACATATTAGAATCTCAAATTAAAATTTTTTTTCTGTATTATATATTAATAATAAAGTTTCATGAAAGCTCACTGTGCATCCCCTGCTAAAATCTTTTTTATGAATAAAATTGTTTCCATGCTAAAAAAAATATTTATAAACCCGTTATTAACAAACCTCAGAGTTCTGATAACCAAATGGACAATCAAACCCTATTGTTTAATTTACAAAAGTGCTTTTATAAGAATATATTTATTATTATTATGTGTGAAATTATTTCGTCACGCGTAATTAGTTAATTTCGTAATTACGTATTGCCGTAAAGTCTCGAAAGTTAGTACAACTGTTTACAACTTGTACAAATGATTTCAATATAAAATAGGGTTGCTATCTTTCGGGGGTGTTATCTTTCGAGACTTTACGGTACATTGGCAAAACAATTACCATTCCATTTATATTTAAATTTTTGTAATAAATAAAAAGATTTTGATTAAAAAAAATTTCGTGCCAAAGACCACACGAAAGACCAATCTTTCAGCTCAATGAAAAAAAAAACTGGTCTTTGAGACCAGACTGGATCGGACCGAACCAACACTACCTAGATGGTTGGACTAAGTTTTCACCCACAAAAATAAATGGTTAAATTAAACAGCAGTTCACAAAACCTGAACGAATGTTTGTAATGATTTTGTTAAATAGATCAGTTAATAACCTTCAGATTGGTTAAATATCTGCGAGTTATTTAACTAATTAAAGTTCAAATAGTTCAAAAAATAATTTGAACCAGTTAAATTGCCAACGCTGACCATAATGGACTAGTACCACGACCAACCCTGGCTGACTAAATATTATTTTTTTTAAAAAAAAGAATGGTGGTTATCACCACAACTCGCCATTCTAGTTTAAATTAATAAAGTATAATGAAACTTTGGATTGCACCACTCATTTATTACAACGAATTAAATGTGAAACATTCAATTTATTTTCTAAAGCTAAAAATTTGATGAAACATTAACAAGCGAACGTCTAAAAAGCGTATCTGTATAATGTAGCCTGCAGTTAATATTAATGTTGCTTGTCGAAATTAGAGAGTTTCTGCATTTCGAAACTATGTATAAAGTTTTGCCTTTCGGCATCAGGCTAAACGGGTTTTGGGAAGAACCTTAAGATGGAAGGATTGAATGAATTTAATAATTTGTTAGGATTCAAAATATCTATATAAGCACCCAAAATTCTCATCAACTTCCAATTTCTAATTATACAAAAATTAATTTAATCCAAACTGTCCAAACAGTAACTAATATTAAATAAAAATATATAAAATACTATACAATCACACACTTCAAATTTTCAACAATGAAACAAGCTATTTTAATTGTGCTTTTTGCAGCTCTCTTCTCTAGCGTCTTTGTTAGCGCAATGAGTATCGGTGGTGTAAATGGACTCTCCAGAAGAGGTTTACGTATGTGTCTTAATCTATTCTAAAAACATGCACAAAATGATTTTTTTGCAAATTTCTCATTTAAACTTTTATGTAAATTTATATCTTGATATTTATTAATTGTGCGTGCACATTTATCAGTGGATGCATGTAAAAGTAATGATGATTGTATTTTTGGTCAAGTATGTGGTACTGATGAAGTGTGCCATCTTAATCAAGGAGCAACTTGCAACGCCAACTCTGACTTATTTTGCGTAACTTCTATTTGTCGTATTTTTGGAAGTGATACCTTCAAATGCCAACTTACTGATACTCGTCCTACTAGAGATGTTTGCTTAGTGAATGATGCATGCGAGAGTAAGAAATGTACTAAGAACCGGTGCGAATAAATATATTATTAATTTTATAATTACGCATTTTAGATATACAGTAAACTATTTATTACTATTCTATTATTATTTCATTTTGCATTTAATCATAATTTTTTATAATGTATATATACATATATAATAATAATAAATAAAAAATTTTTTAACAATATCCCGCATGTCACGTGCAGCCAATAAGATTCTTACCCTCCCTAAATGCATCCCTCCATAAATGCACGGTCTTGTCCATTCCCAAGGGGGGTGCACTTATGGAGGGTTGACTGTAAATGCATTCCCAATTTTTCCCTTGGTGCTGATTACTGCCCAAACATGAACTTTATATGGATGCTTTATTATAAGTGCAACAGGTTTTGCATTTCGAGACCATGAATGAAGGGCATTGTGAAACATCTGGATCGTTGTTTCATCAGAAAAAACAACTTTACACCAGTTGTATTGTGCATGTTTACATGCCCAAGTCAAGCAATTATCTTTTGCTTGTTTGGTTAAAAGAAGAACCTTTCTTGGAAAAACAGAAATGAAACTGAGGTTTTTAAGTTCACAAAGTATAGTGCATTCACTGATCTCAAGTTCAAGATCATTTTCTTCCAATTTAGCTTTAAGTTCACCTGCTGTAGTGAAATGATTGTGTTTCAGAATTTTTCCAATATGATGGTGTTTTTCAGAGGTCAATTTTCTTGGATGACCAGAAGAGTGACCTACAGGAATTTTGCCATTTTATGCAATAAACTGATGCACTGCTCATAGGAGCATAGAGGAATCCCCAATTGTTGAGAAATTTCCTTTGGATTGTGAATGTTTTGTAGTACTTCAAGAGGTGTTGGTACCATTTTTAAATGTAAAAACAAGATGTAAACAATATTAAAGGTGGTCAGTCCCATAGATCCATTGAAACAAGGTTTGACTGTATTGGTTTTTTTTTTTTTTTTGGAAAAACAAAAAAACAATTTATTTTTTGACAGTCCAAGGTGACAAAACGTGAGAGTTGTTGTTTAGTTTGGTTTGGATATCCCAAAGAAAACGTGTTAATAACTAACCAGAGGTACTTTTTTTACTTGTAATGATATTTTTATTTTAGTTTATAAGTATTTAAAATGGAACCAAAACGCAGAGCAGACCATTGCTGGGTAATTATAAGATTCTGTAAACGTTCAAATAATTATCACAATTATTTAAAAACGTTCAGATATTTATTTAACAATGTTAATGAACTGATAATTTTATTGTTGTAAAACTATATAAAAGTTATCTTTATTTGTTTGAATTTTA